ACTTCTGTCTAACTCAGCACAGGGGTAGAGAAGTTGTCTTTTGCATTTTCTCTTACCAGGTCCCTTTGTCTTGTTTATGCTCAAACAGTTCAACAAAGGTTGCTGACCAAGGCTGACTGTGTCCACCCCCAACCCACCAGACTGGGTGAGTGCCCATCTCTGGTCTCTCCAGATGTCTTCCCTGGAACCCTTTGCTCCACTCTTCAGAGGAACCTGAGCCCCTCTACACTCCCTGGCACAGCATGCCCCCACCTCTCCTCCAGCAGCAGAACCTGGGCCTCAGTGCACACCAAGAATTAGAACCCTTGACTCTGCCGTCTTACCAGGTTCCATTTCCCTCCCATTTGTGGCGAGCCAAGGCCTTTTCAGGAGCCCCTCAATTACTCTCCCCTTGCTGCCCACCAGAGCAACCTCAGAACTTGCTGCCTTCCTGGGAAGACCTCCCACCAGCCGGGGGAGCTATCCTCTACATGCTGGGCTCCAGGTGCATGTGCAGGCGAAAACACTGGTGCCCTTGCATGTGTGGGTCCCAGAAGAAGGGGCAATTTCCACCCCCCACCTTAGTTACCATGCCCCTCTGCAGCTGACTAAGCCACCAAAATCCAGCCAAGATTCCTACTCCAGGCCTGAGGGCCAGCTCCCCATCCTGAAAAACCTGTCTGGGTCCCCCCACCCTGAGGCTGTAGAGCCCATGGCACAGGTTGGACAAGATTCCTCTCCAGCCCCTCCCACCCTCAAGACAAAACCAGCCACCCCAGGGGCAGGGCCTCACTTGCCTCAGGAAGCCACGGCCGGCCAGCATCCATTCCAGCTCCTAGCCCAGCTATGGCATCCCTGCTACCCATCCAGATCTTGCCCTTGACCCTGATTCTGCTGACTGTTCTGGCCCCAGCAGCTGCAGGTCTTTGCCGTTTCTGGGGAGGGTGTGGGGCCTGTGCCCTCCTGCGCCTTCCAGGGCTCTGGAAGAGGAGCTCATCTGGCCAGTTGGAGGTGGGGGGCTGGCAATAGCAGTGACTAGTCATCGGCCCCTGAGCTAAGAGCACACTCCTGCTCCTCTTTCCAGCCCAGCAGGCAGGGCGGTGTGGGGAAGGGCCCAAGGCTGTGGGCAGGGGCGAGGGTGGGCACCCAGGATCTGGAGGCTTGGTAGAGTATCCAGCTTCTGCAGCCCAAGCCTGCCACCTGGTGGTCAGACTAGCAAAGGTCTGTGTTCTGCTGATGGCCTGCAGTGGGAGGACACTGCAGCCTTAGAAGAGGCCTCTGGGAGTGGGGCCAGAGCTGATGGTGGTGGGGCCACTTAACTTCCTCCTGGCCCCCTAGCAGTATTCAACATCTCAAGCCTCTCTGGTCTGCTGTCCCCGGTGCTAACGGAGAGCCTGCTAGTTGCCTTGCCCCCCTGTCACCTCACAGGGGGTAATGCCACACTGATGGTCCGGAGAGCCAATGACAGCAAAGGTCTGCTACCCTGTCCCAAGGCATTCCCCTAGTCCTTTCCCAGGACATCCCCAGCATCCCTTCTCCCACGCATGCCTTCCCATAGGCCCCATTACTGGGCCCAAATTACTTGGAGCCTCCAGAAAACTGACCCTGCCTCTCACCCCCAATTTCCTGCTCAGTGGTGAAATCTAGCTTTGTGGTGCCTCCATGCCGCGGGCGAAGGGAGCTGGTGAGTGTGGTGGATAGTGGGGCCGGCTTCACGGTCACCCGGCTCAGTGCATACCAGGTGACAAGCCTCGCGCCGGGAACCAAATACTAGTAGGTACTAGATCCAGGCCTGGAGCACCTGTGGGAAGGGTACAGGAGATGATGCTGGGTCCTGACATTTGGTGTAGTGGTGGGATGTGGTCAGCATGGGGGAGAGAGTGAGGGCGCAGTAAAGGGTTCGAGAATGAGCCTCTCCTGGAGGAGGGAGCAGAGGAGACACAGTTGTGAGGGGGAGGCCTGGCTGGGTTCCCTCTGTGCCCAAGTCCCAGATACTCACCGAGGGTTCTCTCTTCTTTCCCTCTCAATGCCCCCCCCAAGCATTTCCTACCTGGTGAAGAAAGGGACGTCCACCGAGTCCAGTAGAGAGATCCCAATGTCCACACTTCCTCGTAAGTAGCACCACTGGCTCTCACGCCTCCAGGCCCAGACCCTTCCCTGGCCCTCCCTGGCGTGCCCTGCCCTCCCCGCGTTCCCTGTGCCCCTTTGCTTCCTCTGTCCGGCCGAAGCCCTTGGCATTTTAACCACCCGCTGACTGGTCTTCCTGCACCGCTAACCGAAGGTTCTCTGTGGGTAGGGACTGTGTCCGGCTAATTTCTGTAATCTCAGCGGTGACAGAGGAGGTGCTTTGTAAGTGTTTACTTGACAGATGTCTGGATGCCTTGGCTGATCCGTTGGATGGTTGGATAAGTAACTAGATGGAAGGAAAACTGGTCAGCTGGCTGGACAAGGGGCTGCGCCGAGTGCCTCAGGCAGGACAGGGCCGCTGCCCACCAAGACCTCCCTGCTTTCTCCTCTGACAGGAAGGAAGGCAGACTCCATTGGGCTGGGAATGGCCCGGACAGGGGGCATGGTGGTCATCACAGTGCTGCTCTCTGTCGCCATGTTCCTGCTGGTCGTGGGCCTCATCGTGGCCCTGGCCCTGGGCGCCCGGAAGTGAAAGTGAGGAGGAGTCCGCAGGGGCCCTGCCTTCTCCTGCCGCCCCTCGAGGACCGCCTGTTCCCTGGCCTCTTGCCCCTGGCTCCGGGGTGCCTTTCCCTCCCGCCTCTCCTCCCTCTGCTCCTCTCCTCACCCCCTCAGGCCTCCCCTCTTCCCAACTCTCCCTATCGTTTCCCTCACCCTATTCACATCACAATCGATTTTCCTCCCATTTCACCTCTTTAATGACCCCCAACAACAATCCACCCCCGCCCAGGGACTAAGTTCCTACAATAAAGTCGGATGCCTGCCGTGCTGGTGTGTTTCCCTTCTGTGGGTGCAGCTTTGGGCAGAGGCTATAGATTCCAGGTCCCCAGTCCCCTCCCTGCCCCACAGCTCCAGAGTCACTTTCCCCAGGAGGCAGGAAGGGGCGGGGGAGATAAGAACTCCGGAGTCAGAGTTCTCAGACCCACTCCTGGGCTGTGGGGTTCTGCACCCTCCACAGCAGGCCACCCCACCAGGAGCTGGTGCACAGTGAGGGGACCTAGAGGCCATAGGAGCTTTGAGGGGCGGGGGGCAGGGGGCAGGCGCCTGCTGGCAGAGCAAAGGGAAAAGATTAGAGGGTCTGACTAGGGGAAGACAGAGGGTCACCAGAATGAGACCAAAGGACAGGGTACTGGAAAGTGGGGGACTGGAGAATAGGCTAAAGGGGCTCTAGGAGAGAGTGGAAGTGGAAAAGTCCTAGTGGAGAGAGACAAGAGTGGTACAGTCTGGTGACTGAGGGGAAAAAGCGGGAATAGTCCCCCTTGTTCACTCCTGTCCTCCCCAGTATATATTCCGCATAAGGATCAGTGACCTTCGAATTGCTCTTAAAGACTCAAATCTTTAAGATGACCTTCAGAACCAGCCCTGGTCTCTCCCCTAACTGGCCCTCAGCTCTCACCCTGTTCCCTCTTGCCTCAGGGCCATTGCACACACTGTTCCTTTGCCTGGCCTGCTCTTGAGACTGCCCCACCCCCACTCCACTCCTATTGGATAGGTAATCCAGCCTCTCCAGGGGAGCCTCCCCGGACTTCCATCCCCCCACTGGGGGGCTCTCCTAGACTACCTGTCATAGCATTACTATGGTTTGTAATTACATGTTCATATGATTATTCAGTCTTCTCCCCACCAGACTGTACATTCCCTGAGAGCAGTTGCTTTGCTCCCAAGGGCCTGCAGTACCTCTGCTCCACAGTGCCTGGGACACAGTACGTAATATTCAATAAATACTTGTTGAGTAAGTGAACAAGCCTCTATAGAGAAAGAAGGGCCAGCCAGCATGGCTGGGTGGTTGAGGGTCGACCCATGAACCAGGAGGTCACGGGTTTGATTCCGAATCAGGGCACATGCCCAGGTTGTGGGCTCGATCCCCAGTAGGGGGTGTGCAGGAGGCAGCTGATCAATGACTCATTATTGATGTTTTTGTCTCTCCCTCTCCCTTCCTCTCTGAAATCAATAAAAACATATTTTTTAAAAAGAGAAAGAGAAGAAAGGGGCTGGAAAAGTGCCAAAAGTTCTGCAAAACAATAAAAATGACTCACAGAGTTAGAAGATGCTGGAACAATTGTCTTTTTATTATTATTATTATTGATTAGAGGAGAGAGAGGAAGGGAGAGAGAGAAACATCACTTTGCTGTTCCACTTATTTATGCACTCATTGGTTGATTCTTGTGTGCCCTGACCAGGGATCGATGCTCTAACCAACTGAGCTACCCAGCCAGGGCTAGAACAACGGTCTTAATGAAGCCTTTCTAGAGTAACCCAAGAGCTTAGGAGAGGGAGACAGCGGAAGAGAAGAAAAACAATATTTATTCATTCCACAAATATTAACTGAACATTTAGTATATGCCAGGTTCTGCTGGAGGTGCTGGGAATAAACTGTGAACAGACATTGCTCCTCCCTCATGGAACTTAAAGAGACTCCCAAAAATGTGAACAAGCAGGTAAATAAAAATGTGCTAAGTACTACAGAGAATGAGAGAGGCGGTGACCTCTGTCTGCGTGGGCCTGAGCCGAGGCCTGAATGAGGAGAAGGCCAGGGAAAGCCTGACCTGCAGAGAACGGTTTGGCTGCCTCCCCACCCTAACTGCAGAGCAGGGAGGGTTGGGAGTCAACCTTCCTGTGTTGTGGCAAGAGCATGGGATTGGAGCCACTGTGCTGCACAACAGAATCACCTAGAGGGCTTTTAAAGCCCCAATGCCCAGGCCATACCCCATAGCAGAATCAAAATGACTGGGGCCATCCGGGCACTGGCATTTTTTAAAGCTCCCCGGGAGGTTCCAATGCACAGCAAAGTTTGGAAATTACTGACATAAACAATTTTCAATTGTGGTAAAATAAACATAAAATTTACTATTTTAACCATTTTTGAGTGTATAGTTCAGTAGCATTAAGTACACTGACCGTCACTGCTGTCCATCTCCAGAACTGTTTCATCTTCTCAAACAGAAACTCTGTGCCATAGAAAACCAAAACTCCCCTTCCCTCCTTCCCACCCCTGGCAATCGCCATTCTACTTTCCGTCTCTATGAATCTGGCTAGATTCTAGGTATATCATAAAAATGCAATCATGCAAAGTGTGTCCTTTTGTATCTGGCTTATTTCACTCAGCATAATGTTTCCAAGGTTCACCCGTGTTGCAGCATGCATGAAAATTTTATTCCTTTTTAAGGCTAAACAATTTCCCATTGTCTGTACGGATATGTTACATCTTGCTTATCCATTCACCTGTTGATGGACATTTGGGTTGTTTCCACCTTCTAGTTATTGTGAATAATACTACTATGTACACGGGTGTACAAATATCTTGTTCGCATCTGTCCTTTAAATTCTTTTGAGTAAATACCCAGAAGTAGAATGACTGGATCACATGGTAAGTCTATGTTTAATTTTTTAAGGAACGATCAAACTGTTTTCCACAGGGATTCAACCATTTTACATTTTCGCCAGCAATGCACAAGGGTTCTCCTAATTTCTCTACATCCTAGTCAACACATTATTTTCTGTGTTTTGTTTATTATTATTATTTTTTAATCCTCACCTGAGGAAATGTTGAGAGAGAGGGAAACATTGATTGGTTGCCTCTCATACCCCCCTGATGGGAGTTCAAACCCGAAACCTAGGTATGTGCCCTGACAGGGAATCAAACCCGCAACCTTTTGATGTACAGGATGACGCTCGGCCAACAAGCCACCTGGCCAGAGCTTTTTTTTTTTTATAACAGCCATCCCGATGGATGTGAAGTGGTTTTAAGTGTGCATTTCCCTAATGATTATGATGCTGAGTATCTTTTTATGTGCTTATTAGGCATTTGTATATCTTCTTTGGAGAAATGTCTCCATCCCTGGCCCCGTTGGGGCAAGTGCAGGAGGCACCAAATCAATGTGTCTCTCTCACATCGATGTTTCTCTCTGTCTCTCTCTTTCCCTTCCAATCTCTCTGGAAATCAATGGAAAAAAATATCCTCAGGTGAGAAGTAAAAAACAACAAAAAACAACAACCAGCATTTACTGAGGATCTCCTGTGTGCCAGGTACTCTCGCAGCTTCTGGTCTTGTAGACAAGCAACAGACAGCACAGTAAGTATAGGGTGGGTGGGCCGATGGAGAAGCCAGGAAACCAGAGGGGACTGCTTATCCACTGGCCGTATGTGGAACAACTTGAGAAGTAAAACAAATAATGACAGTAATGATTTATTACCCATTCTATAAAATAAGAATCCATGCCCAGCAGGGCGGGGCTCAGCAGTTGAGCATTGCCCTGGGATCCAGGAGATGGTGGTTCGATGCCCGGTCAGGGCACATGTCCGGGTTGCGGGCTTGATCCCCAGTCGGGGGCGTGCAGGAGGCAGCCGACTAATGACTCTCTCATCACTGACGTTTCTGTCTCTCTCCCTCACCCCTCCCTTCCTTTCTCTGAAATCAATAAAGACATATTTTTTTAAAAAAAGAATTGCGTCCATACTGATAAATAAATGTGGGATAAGGAAAAGCTCTTTCTTACAACAGGATGCTACCTAAGCCCTGGCTGGTTTGGCTCAGTGGTTAGAGCACCAGTCCGCGGCCTAAAGGGTCCTGGGTTCGATTCTGGCCAAGGGCACGTACCTCAGTTGCAGGCTCAATCCCTGGCCCCAGTTGGAGCTTTTGAGGAAGGCAACCCATCAATGTGTCTTTCTCACATTGATGTTTTTCTCTCTTCCCCCTTCACTCTCTCTGAAAGCAATGGAAAAAATATCCTTGGATGAGATTAAAAAAGAAAAAGAAGAAGAATGCCAATTAAATAAACAGAAAAAGAATGATAGATTTAGAAAGATAATAATTTTACAGCTATCGAAGTAATGATTGATTCAGGCAAGAGTCATAAGCCGATGCTAGAATTAGTGGGCCCAAACCTGATAAGGAACAGGATTTTAGATCAAAGTCTCTCTTCACAAA